CGTAGCAAGGCTCATAAAGTTTTCACACCTGCCTTGGAAAATTAAGTAAATATATAGAGTTTTTTTTARAAAGCTGTTGGAAAATAAGTTATTTTATATTTTTCATTTTCGGAGGTTTGTGGTATGTTAAATTGTCTAGAAATACAACTACAAATAGGTAGATATGTAGGGCCGTTAGAACAGAAAGAACTATTTCATTAGGGACTATTAGGGAGTTTTATAAGGCTCTTCCTTCTTTCCACCCCAGTTTTCCTGCATTCCCGCCTCGTTCTCCCCAGTCGAAACTCCGTTCTACTTTCCAGGTCTCTCTCCCACTCTCCCTAACAACTACCAAACTCATAAAGGAATTTTTTTTAAAGTAAGTTTTCTGTAAACTTTTTGATAGGCAAGACAGGCACATATTGTGGAATCCTAAAAACAACCAGGATAGAGAATCTATAGCTAGAGACAGGAAGAGTATCAGCCACAGATCTCCTGATGGAGTCATCAAGGTATATGAGTCACAGGCGTAGGCGGGCTACCTGTTGTTATAGGATAATGTAACGATAGATGGAGACTGAGAGCGAGCGAGCATGCTCTCCTCAAGGCCCATCCTCCCTGTTTTATCATAAAGGGATCCCAAGCGCCAGATAAAATAAAAAAAGAGATCTAGAGATATAAGATAGCCCTGATTCTTTCGATGGCTTATGTTGATGGCTTATGTTGATGGTTGCCTGTGAAATTGGCGGGAAATTTCGTGCTAAATCGCGCGCGCGTTTGCTTCCATAACCCTGGGACACTTCACCACTAGACACAATGACATACGTCAGAGTAAATGCAGAGTTCTAGAGATGAATAACATCTTTGTGGAAGAGCAAACGGAAAYGTATTTTCCGTATCTGGGCTCAAATATTAGTTTCACTAATACGATGGATTATATTTTTAAACGTTCGATTTGTTTGCTTTTGGTTTGCATTAAAGGTTTGCATTAAACAAGCCTTTCATTCTCCTGCTGAACAAGGTGAAGGAGATAATGAAAACAATGAAATAAAAAGTGATGAGAAGGAGAACAAGGAAAGAATGATTCTTAAACCAGTATCTGGAAATGAGTAAGTTATCTGTTCTCTCATTAGTTACTAATGATTATCACTATAATCTTCATCATCATCAACACTATCGACCATTATTATTATAGATCTCACCACCACCACCGTTACAATACTCCATCTCCCATATTTGATCTGCGAGCCAGCATATTCCCAGATCAGGAACCTATTACTAGGAGCATCCATCTCCCATACTGGGTCTGTGAGCCAGCATATTCCCAGATCAGGAACCCATTACTAGGAGCATCCATTTCCCATACTGGGTCTGCATGTGAGCCAGCATATTTCCTACTAAACACAGAAACAAAAAATCATTGAAATTAACTTATTGTTTTTCAGCTTGCTTGATCGTACTGGAGGAATCGATGTAAGTACAACACATACGTTGAATTGCACATCTCTCTTTTCGCTACCCCTTGTCAGTTACCTATCGGTCCGGATGCCTCCGTCACTACTCTTTGCTTTGAGCTTAATTTTCCCCAATTTCAAACCTCTTGGGAATAGGATTCTTGCTTATGTCACTCTATATTGATGTTCTTTACAAGCGTTACCAATAGACAAAGATATAATACTCAAGGTCTGAAATAAGAAAGAATTATGCCCTAACTAAAAGGGGCCATATAAATTGCGATAATGATTACACTTTACTGGTAACTAGCTTTACATATAAAGTAATTTTCATCTCTAGGCCACTAATGTTATACTGAATGTTATACATAAACAAAAAATAATAACAATAATCTTTATTGAGGAAACTTTTTTAGTAAAAAAGATTTTTAAAAGGGACCTCAAAAAAGTAACTATATATATTGTTTCATTCAGAGCTTACGAATCAGAGGAATGAGATTATCTCCGTCAAACACGCGCGACAAACGTCAAATCCGACCGTACACGACCGATCTCACAAGTAACCATAGATACCGRAAAAACAGCGTCACCCCAGTTCCACGACCGCAGTCCATGAACGTAAAGCTCAGCAGAGATGAGTCAAGGACAGAATCGTGTACTAAAGCTCCTAGTCAGTCACWACCGCACTCTGTAGACATCAAATTTGAACCAGATGACTCAAACACCGAACCGCGTAAGAAAACGACAGGAAAGATAATACTAACGTCACCAAGGAAAGAAAAGGAGATCAAAAACGCTGAAGAACCAATGGCTAAAATCAAAGATGTAGCTGATACTTCGATGATAGACGAAACAAAGAAAGAAGAAGCGTCAGTTGGCGCGCCAGAAGAAAAAGACGAAGACAAAACGGAGAACGCGCCTTTGGAATGCCTACAAGAAGGGGTGCAGGATGCTGGTGGAGCAGTAGCTAAGATAGAACCGCTACACAATGGGATATCGTCTGTAACGGTCATAGCAAGAAGTAACGAGCTACAGCGTAGACCTTTAAAGTCTCCGAGACAATTGAGGTGTGGTCCAAAGAAAAAGCCATACTTTATCAATTCGCCGGACATCACTTCAGCACACGGTTTTGGTATGTAACTATCAATATTCAGCTAATTGATACGTATACTATAATACTATAGATACTAATAGCTAAAAATGCTTTCCTTTAGCGGCTTCTAAAGATCAATCACAGCGTCACTTCAGTACTCGTGGAAACTCCGCAAGGAGTCGAGGACAGAGTGAAAAGGATTTCATGGCGCAGGTGCAGAAGATTGATAACGGAAAAGAGAAAATTACCAACAGGTATGGATGGATGGATGGATGGATGGATGGATGGATGGATGGATGGATGGATGGATGGATGGATGGATGGATGGATGGATTAACCAGTGCCTTATGTCTTCTCGCCAGCTTGAACGCTATCTATCAAGGCTACGTCAAAAAATGCAAACCGCATCATCGCAAACTATCAATAATGCAAGCTCACGAAATCCTTCAGCGAGAGAGCAAATTCCAGAGTAAATACGRCAGACGACCAGACAGTAGCAAACTAGAAAAGGAGTCTACCACTGARGAAAAAACCGACGAGAAAACCCCCTCTGTTGAAGTAACCACTTTCGAAGGCGCCAAAATAGTAAGAAGAGAGAAGAAAGCACAGAAATATTTTAAATCATCTGGAATAAGTGGCTTAACTCTGAAGGAAGACCACAAAGACTTGTACCTCCATGCCACGCAATGTAGGTGGATGAAAAACGAGATATTAGAAAGTGGTTTGCTAAAAGAACGAGAGCACACCAGTAAAAATCCAGAGGAGAAAAAGCGCAGTGCAAGTGCGAGTAGTGACGCTAAAGGTGATAAGGTGRTCGTTACACAAGAAGAGTCGTTGAAAAGACAAAAACAGAAAGAGTTGACGGAAGAAGTGGAACGCGAGAAGCAGAGAATAGAGCGAGAATTACTGGATTCTGAGAGAGTCAAGTTGATTGAACAGTATCTAGATGACGTGTACACACGTTATGCTGGGGTGAACACGACGACTTTACAACTAGATAACAAAGCAGTAGAAAAAGAGCGTTTATCGCACTCCAAGATACCGAAACACCAAGGACAGATATATTCTTGGTTACCACGAAAAAAGACTCAAAGAAGCTTTTCTCCTGGCGTGTCGAGCAAGACGCCTTCGATTCTAAACAGCAGCAATCAGACGTCACAGACCTTTAGTATGAGACATATGGCCAAGAAGGTTGATTTTAAAGAGAAACAGCCTAGTGATGCGCAGAACAACAAAGTGCGCTACTTCAACGACTGGAATAAGACGGCTTTTATAAATTATGTAAAYAGCGAGGGTGAATTCAAGGTTGATGAAGCTAATCAAGATCTTGCAAACAAGGTATTTATGGGATTCATGCTCGCGTGGGGATGGGGCAGAGGGAGCAGTTACCACCCCTATCCCCCAGTGCAAATTTCTTCAATCAAAGAAGATCAAATAAAGCACAACCCCACTCCCTCTTTCCAACACACACACACACCTTTTGGTGCAACAGCTCGTACGATTTCCAAATAAAGACTGGTGACAACCTCACAAGGTCACGTGACCCATTCATTTAATCCTAATATTAGGATTTTTATAACACCAAATTGCTTTGCTGTCTGTGGTATTTTTCACAGGGGGTAGAGGTAGGGATTTTTTGCTTTCGCCCCTAGCATAGCAACAACTGCAGACCACTATTGAAAACAGACTATTTTTTGGGGGGGTGGGGTGGGGGGGATGCATGCGGATGCGCTGGATAGTAATGGATGGTAAGCTAGCTAACTTGCGGTCCAGCATATCTGGCCAACTCCTCGTCGCCCGCCATTTATAAAAGAAAGTTTTCACACAATGATTCTCTTCCTTTGAATTCCAGCTTAAAGACGGTGGATATTGGCTGAAACGTCATCTGAGTGGGGTCGTGATAAAAGCCAACACGAAGAACGTTGGAGCAGGACCGGCTTCGAAAACATRAACAATAACGCTACAGTTACCTAATTTGTTATGGAAATTAAAAGACATATATTGTTAAAAGTTATTAAGAATAAATTTAAGGAAGCCGAGAAAATGACTTATTCTTTTAAACAATTGGGGTCATTATTTGTCGGCGTGGATAGGAGAAGCTCTCAGACTAAGAATATTTGTTGCGACATTAAAAAAAAAATTTTTTTTAATGAAATTGATAGTTTTCAACYATTCCCAAGAAAATTAAATATTAAAAGTGACGGAAAACCATCAATACTTTGGGTCGACAATCATTTTGAGATTAAAGTCACGTAACTCTAAAGTCTGCAGAAGTTATTTAGTATTTTATCACACGTGGCGGTTGCTAAGAAACTGCCCTTTCAAAAAAGTATTTTGATAAATTTTCGGCCATTTTGCTTATTCAACAAATATTCTGTTGACAGGCTTGCACATCAAAACCTGTTTAGCCAGTATATATCAAATCTGAAATTGATATGCCTAAGGAGACTGGGGCGGCGTTTTTCAACTGACTGCACACAACAAGCATCGATTTCACCTCGCAGCGAGGGGACTTCTTTCCAAGAATTCTTGATAAACAACCGAGGCTGAGTCAAAGTTTCTGGAGATAAAGTAAGTATAAAAATAATTCAAGATTACTGCATATTTTTTAACCAATTCATCGGCAAGACTGATTCTTTTTAAAACCAAACTCACAACACGTAGAGGTGGGAATACATATTTTCAGAAAATTTCTAAACAATTATATCTGTACTATAAAAAGGAGAAATTTCTGAACATCTCTTATCGTAATATATATATACGACATTCAACTTTCAGAAATTTCTGAACATCTCTTATCGTAATATATATATACGACATTCAACGTTCAGAAATTTCTGAATTTGGTGGGGGGGGGGGGGGGGGGTTAACTACTCAGGCCTCTCTCCCACTCTCCCTAACAACTACCAAACTCATAAAGGAATTTTTTTAAAAGTAAGTTTTCTGTAAACTTTTTGATAGGCAAGACAGGCACATATTGTGGAATCCTAAAAACAACCAGGATAGAGAATCTATAGCTAGAGACA